CATGTGGGCAGGGGGCTCCCGGCACGCGAGGCCGGCCCACGCGCACAGCCTCCCGGGGGCCCGCGGCAGCTGGAGCAGCGGCGGCAACGTGCTCGCAGTCTGGCTTCTTCAGGGCTCAAAGCGCCCGCCCTTGGGGAGGCATGTGTTCCCCAGCAGGCGCTGCTCCGCGGCTTGTCTCCCAGAGCGCGTCACTGAGAAAAGTGAAAATTAACCACCTCAGGGAAGGCTTGCGGCGCAACCTCCTGGAGGATCTCTGGTCCCAGCTCCAAAGCACCATCAGCAGCTGCTAATCGGCTCTGTGCAGGGGACATCTCTGAAGGCCACACGCAGGGGAGGACCTCCTTGCACTCAGCAACTTGCCATGTGATGCCTGGGTACCAGCCAGAGCAGAGGATCCTCAGCAATAATGATCATTGGTTTGCCCGGGAGCCTGTCTTCCCTGGCAACACAGCCCATCTTTCTGGGAGATAGTATTCCCAAGCAAGTGTTTTAACAGTGGGCTCCCAGGTCCCCCTCTTTCCTGTGTATGCTCTGGTTTCATCTCTGCCAGTGAACAGTTTCCTTAGCCACAGAGACATTCTGAGCAACTTGCCTTCCCACAGGACATCTCCAGGGTTTTCACAAGCTGTTCCCAGCAGAGACAGCCCAGCCCAGCCCCCCTTAAGGGCACCTGACTGTCCTGTGCCGCTAGGGTCTGGCTGAATACTATTTTCGTGCCCTCCTCTGAGAAAGAATATTTACAATCTGGTGGCAGCCTTTTCCACCCAGGACTGTGCCATGGCTGTGTTCGTACAAGGTTAAGGGGTAGGCTGAAGTACCAAGTGAGGGAGCGAGGGATTGGCTGAATGAAAAACTCGGGAAAGGAAATTTTGCTGACTCCCTGCTTTCCCTGGGTGATATCAGATAAACCTGGATTAGAAGCCGGAGCAACCAACTGTAACTCTCTCATTGTGCAATGTCTGGGCCTCCAGGTGCAGCTGCAGGTGCCCTTGGGAGGTGACTGCTCTCAGTGAGGAAGGACCCACCAAGACAAAAGGGAACACAGCTGGTATCAAGATCTAGAGCCAAAGCCAGCATGTGGGACTGTCTAGATTCTAGAAGAATACGGAAGCAAACCAAGTATGGACATAAACTTATTCTTTCTCTTGGGCCAGGTCAGCATGCTGTCCCTGAGAACACATAGTGGGTACAGAAAATAACCCCCCTCCCCACTCCTGTGCTCAATTGCCACCACTGTTTAAGGTTCATGGAGTCTTCCCAATTGTGATCACTGGGTATGAGTGGCCTGGGTAAAGGTCTTTTCTACCCATACTTTAAGATGATCATCAAGCCAGGCATGGTGGCACACACCTTTAGTCCCAGCACTTGGGAGGATCTCTAAAGTCGTAGCCAGCCTGGTCAAGAATGAGTTCCAGGACAGCTGGGGCTACCAGAGAAACCCTGTCCTGAGGGGAAAAAAAAAAGTCGTTAGGATAGTGACCCAACAAATGGCCAGTTATAGAGAAGCCTTATACCTCTTCCGCAAATTCTAGCCTCTTGCTGGAAGAGGAACTTTGGGACGAAGATTATTAACGAGGCCCAGACTGGATTGTAATCCAAAGACACATGTCCACTCCTTGGTCGGTCTCTGATCAGGAAGTGCTTTTGAGATCGGGCTTCTTGGGTCCTACTTTTCCAACGAGATGACTAGAAGTTGTCATTGGAGAGGAAGAAGGACTGGAAAAATCAACAATCAGAAATCTAGTTGTATGAAAGGCCATTTGGATGGGATATAAAAAGTTTGTGAGTTGGTTGAAATATGAGGCTTAGAGATTTAAAGTCACACGAATCTATAAGACCAAATTGGTTGTGCTTATCAAGACAAGTCTGTAATTATTGGCATTGCAAGAACCTTAGGCACTACCTACTGTAAGTTAGGTAAAGTACCTTGTTTTGGGCCACTTTAGATGGCACAATGGCTAAGAGCACTGGTTGCTCTTCCAGAGGTCCCAGGTTTGATTCTCAGCACCCATATGGTGGCTCACAACTGTCTGTGACTTCATCCCAGGTGTATTGGACACATTCTGGCCTCTAAAGACACCAGGTGTGCATCTGGTACACAGAGAGACATGCAGCAAACACCTGTACACATAAAAACAATAACATTTAAAAAAATTAAGTGAAGTAGCCTCTCTGGCCAATTTTAGTGTAAGTACCTCTTCATTTAAATGGCAAGGACTTAGACACTGTTCTCTTTCCAACAACTTCCTTCCAGAAGTATTATCTGAAACAGCAGCTTGTGAAGGCTGGGAACAGGAGAGGGACATTCCCCCATGTGTCAACCACTGGGTGTACCCCCAAGTCTATGATATCTGCTTCCTGAAGCAGGAATTGCAATCCTTTTCAGGTGATGGAACATGCTGTAGGAGGGAGCAGGAGATTTTTCCAGACCCAACAGCTGAAAGGGAGAAGCAGGGCTACGGCCTGATGGACCACAGTTCACTGCCACATACTCCAATGGCTTCTCCTTGCTTTCCTCAAGGCCTAGCCAGGCAAGCCTTCAGAGGAGTATCACTCACACACAAACGACTTCCTCGAAATGCCATTCAGTTTAATTGATGGTTGACATTGGGGGTAGATGTGTGGAGGGGAAAGATTATAGTTGCTCCTGCAAATCTGTGGGTTCAGCATTCATGAATCCAAACTGCAGACTGTACATATTTGAAACGCACATTTGCATAGAGAACATTTTTTACTTATTATTTCCTAAATAATACTGCAAATCAGCCATGTCAACTCCATTCACACTGCGTTAGGGATTAGAGAGATGGCTTCAAGTGTAGGAGAGATGGACATATACTACATACAAGTACTGGAGCATTTTATGTGAGAAACTGGAACACACCTGGATTCTGGTATCAGTGGGGTTCCTGGAGCCAGTCTTCCACAGGTACCAACAGACAATTCTACAAATTTGGTAAATCTCTAAACCATACGTTCTAGAAGTCTACAGAGACATTTAGCAAAATGGTTACTTGTAATAAACCTTGATTAAACCCCCCAATACAAAGTTCCTTATCCATCTTACAGATTCGTTCGGAGACCACACAAAGCCCTGGATTGTGGAGACAGCAGATGCTATTGTTCTTGTGAATAACATCACCACTTTGTATACGAGTGGGACAGAGGAAGTGTGCAGATGGAGACGGGGCGGGGGGAGCAGTATTAGAGTCTCTTGGAGACCATGCAAGGTTCCAATTTAGCCTTAGATGCAGGGAGTATGAGGGAGAGGTGGCCTGGACCTGAGAAATCCTAGGATGGATCAATGGCGGCTGGAGAAGCAGACACCCACAGCCAGACAGAAGAGCAGCTAAAGACATACGGATCGTGAGCTCAACCTGTGTTGACTCAGAAAGGTCAGAAGCATGGGTTCCCAAACTTGAGGTGCCAATCAAGTTCTCAGGTTTGGAGTAGTGGCACACACCTTTAATCCTGGGACCCAGGAGCCAAAGACTGGCAGCTCTTTGTGAGTTCAAGGCCAGACTGGATTATATAGAGACTTCCAGGTCAGCCAGGGCTACAGAGTGAGACCCCTGTCTCCAAACAACAACAGCAAGAACAACAAACTTTCTTCAAACAAAACTTCTCAGGAAACCTGCCTGTGTGTTCGAGAGGGACCTAGAGGTGGCATTTTGACAGACACCGCAGGAGATTTCATGTAGGCAGGACTCGGGACAGAACTGTGCCAGGGTTTTCCTCTCTGGACCTCGGTGCTCTGCTCTATATATTGAGGGGATTCCGAGGACAATTTCTACCACGGAAAGACTCGTAGGTGACCATACCTGTCCAGCTCCTGGAAAAGGACTCTAATGGACGGATGCTTGCAGCTGCATCTGGCCTGCCCAGCTGGGTGAGAACAGAGCGATGTCGTGTGTGTTCATGTGGGTGTCCAAATGGGACAGAGTTCCTCTCTCTGGAGGCCGTGGCTTGGGTCCAGGACAAAAACCACTTCCAGTCTCAGGTCCCAGGATCACACAGGATGATTTATTCAAGGGCTCAAAAGAAAAAGAAATGTGTGTATTTTGCCGACAATTATTTGTGTACTTTTCCC